AACCCCCGACGACTTCATCCGGATAAGTTCCAAGTCGCAAAACACGAGTTCGAACACATGCTCGAACTTGGCATCATCCACACTTCATCGAGTCACTGGTCGTCACCCCTACATATAGTACCCAAGAAGTCGAAAGGCGATTGGAGACCTTGTGGAGATTATCGTTCTCTCAATAACGATACTATCCCAGACTGGTATCCCATCCCATATATCCACGATTTCGGAAGTACCTTATGCCACATAAACATCTCCAAACTCAACCTCGTACGTGCATACTATCACATACCCGTAGCTCCGGATGACATTCCTAAAACAGCCATCACAACACCGTTTGGCCTTTTCGAATTCACGCGTATGCCCTTTGGTCTTCGAAATACAGCTCAAACGTTTCAACGTTTCATGGACGAAGTTTTACGTGGTTTACCTTTTGTGTATGCCTATCTTGACGATGTTTTAATCGCTAGCACCTCCTCAACTGAGAAAAGAAGATGTCTTCACTGTGGAGTTATTTATTACAAAATGCCAACTGACCGGTTACAGACTATTGGACAGGGAAGCATCTTGTTCACAAAAACTGAATATCCATATTCTCTTTGAACGCGTCTTTCTGAACTTTCCTAGATATTCATTGACTGTTGCTCAAATCCAAGCAAATGCCACAAGGCGACTCCACTAATTACGCAATAGATGTCCCTTTTCAAGAGAGGCAAAGCGAATGTACAAGAAGAGAACATCCTACACGCATGCCTTCCCCATCAGTAGTATCACCGTTACACCCGTAGCCCCGGATGACATCCCTAAAACAGCTGTCACAACACCGTTTGGCCTTTTCAAATTCACGCGTATGTCCTTTGGTCTTCGAAATGCAGCTCGAACGTTTCAACGTTTCATGGACGATGTTCTACGTGGTTTATCTTTTGTGTATACCTATCTTGACGATGTTTGAATCGCTAGAACCTCCCTAACTGAGCATGCTGCTCATCTGAAGGCAGTATTTGAACTGCCGTGAAGACTGCCATGAAGACTTCTCAGGAGTACATATCCTTCTTGAACAAGTTAGACTGGGATCAACTTCAGTGGAAGGCTTATGTAGGACCATCGTGCAAAGTCCACGAGGCTGAGCGGCGTTCTTTTCAAAAAACAGCATGCAGTCGGAAGGGTCGCAAGCCACATAAAAGTATTCGTCGTTTTCTGAGGTCTCGACCATTTTCAAAAAAGTGGACTATGGGGGCAACACAGAAGGTGAGCTGGTATTTGGAAAAACGCAGAACCACTGCAAGTCACAAATCCACAAACAGAACAAACGAAAACAAGCCACCATTCTACGCATTGCCCGGAAAAACACAAACATGATGTTTATGTACATGGAATATCACCAGAAAAATGAAGCGAGCGCGTTCTCCTTGAGGGAAAGGAATGGGGAACCCACGAGTGACCCATTTGAGGTCACATAGAACACTATGCAGATCTGTTTTCAGCCGGGAGTCCTCGTCACATCTAATCTTGTCAAAACCTACCTGTGAACGGCCTCTAACCGATTTGGCCTTGACGGATGAAGACATTCGCCAACTCTTGCAAAGGATTTATCAGTTCTGCGCGTTGAGGCCATTCAAGAATCCTGAAGGAAATATCGTTCACACGGGTAAAACCTTTCTAGCTGGTGTTTCGTCAGTCGCTTTACAAAGGCCACCTTCCCTTTGCTTGGAAAAAGGCTATTGTCACGCCAATCTACAAAACTGGTGACCGACTTTCGTCCGGTAGCTACATGTTTATTAGTCCCACTAGCATGTCGGGAAAGGTGATGGAACGCATTCTAGAGCGATCCATCCTGGATCATCTTACTACCAAAAATTTAATACCTCCAGTCCAACACGGATTTTTCACAAACCGTTCCTGCGTGACGAACATGCTCTTATTTATGGACAGTTTACGGTGTTATTTTGTTTAATGTTTGTAGGCAGCGAGGAGCATAAGGCCCTTCGGTCCAATGACTGGCAGTCAAATGGCCCAGCGACGTTTGTTGGTGCGGCGGGAAGGGGTTGAGGAGGGACATTAGTGGACGCTGAACTCTACGGGAAACAGCCGTGCCCTATATCAACTGATACGATCGATTGGTCCTAGGAAAGCGACGGTCAGCGAAACGATAAATGGAAAACATGGCTCATTAATTCAATCGCAAAAACGTCGACTGGAAGAATGGGCCGAACACTTCGAAGAACAGTTCAGCTGGCCTGCAACACAGTCAGTGGGGATAATGCATGAGGGCGAATGGAATGTAAACCATGATTGCCCGTCGGAAGACGAAATAAGGTACGAAATAGTCTTACTAAAACGTGGGAAGGCACCAGGACCGGACAGGCTGTATCCAACCCTCATCGAAGAAGGCGGAAAATTCCTGGTAACCCATCTGACAAAGCTTATTGGTGCTATATGGAACGAAGATAAAGCGCCTGTAGAATGGGATATGTCAAAAATTATCCCTATCTTCAAAAAGGGTACGCGAACACTATGCGGCAGGCATCAGCCTGTTAGTTGTGGCATCGAAGGTGCTCTCCGGCCTTATCCTTCGAAGGTTGACTGAATACAGGGAGAGACAGATCTGCCAGAATCATGCAGGGTTTCGTCCAGCAAGAGGCTGCATCGATCATATCTTCATCCTCCGACAGATTCTGGAAGAGCGACACTACTTCCAGCAACCAACAATGGTTGTATTTCTTGAGCTGAAAGCCGCCTTTGACTATGTGGACCGCCAAGCACTGTGGCAGTGTCTCTGGAGCAAAGGTGTCCCCCATAAATTCTTGACTCTCATTACGGCGATGTACGCCAACTCTCGCGGCCGTGTAAGGGTCTACGGGAAGCTCTCTCCTGAGCTCAACACATCAAGTGGTGTCCGACAGGGCTGTCCTCTCTCACCTTTTCTCTCCAACTTTTTCATTGATACGATCATGGAGGACTCACTATCAGCCTCTAGTGCCTGTGGGGTCGAAGTACTCCCTGGGCCTCCGCTCACAGACATCGAGTACGCAGACCCCGTCGCAATGCAAACAATAATAAATCATCTGAATAATTCTGCCTCAAGGCTCTGCATGCGCTTCACACCTGAAATGTGTAAAGTGCTA